CTGATTTTGGTATCAAAGTGATGCTGGACTCTTAGAATGAGTTTGGGAGAGTGGCCTCTCTTTCAATTTTTTGGAACAGTTTAAAGAGAATTGGTATTAATTCTTCTTTAAAGGTTTGGTAGAATTCAGCAGTAAAGCTATCTGGGCTTTTCTTTGTTGGAAGACTGCTGATTACTGCTTCAATCTCATTGCTTGTTATTGGTGTGTTCTGGCTTTCTGTGTCTTCTTGGTTCAGTCTTGGTAGTTTGTAAGTGTCCAGAAATTAATCCATTTCTTCCAGATTATCAAATTTGTTGCTGTACAGTCATTTGTAGTAGTCTGTAAGGATTATTTGCATATCTGTGGTATTTTAATGTCTCCTTTTTCATTTCTGATTTTTGTTACTTGGGTGTTCTCTCTTTCTTTTTTGTTGCTGTTAATCTAGCTAATGGTTTGTCTATTTTATCTTTTAAAAAAACCAACTTTTTGTTTCATTCATTTTTCTATCATTTTTTGGGTCTCTATATCATTTAGGTTTGCTCTGATCTTAATCATGTCTTTCCATCTACAAACATTGGGATTGGATTGTTCTTGTTTTTCTAGTTCTTTGAGGTATAGCATTAGGTATTTATTTGAAATCTTGCTATTTTTTGATGTAAGCATTTATTGCAATAAACTTCCCTCTTAGTACTGTTTTTGCAGTATCCCACACGTTTTGGTATGATGTGTCAATATTTTCATTGGTTTCAGGAAATTTTTTGATATCCTATTTAATTTCTTCTTGGAGCCATAAGTCATTCAGAAGCCTGTTGCTTAATTTCCATGTTTTTGTATAGTGTCCTGAGTTTCTCTTGTTATTTATTTCTAGTTTTAATCTGTTGTGGTCTAAAAAGATACCTGAGATGATTTTGATTTTGTTAAAATTGTTGAGACTTGATTTGTGACCTAACATGTAGTCTATCCTGGAGAATGTTCCATGTCCTGATGAGAAGAATGTATATTCTGTAGCTGTTGAATGAAATGTTCTATAGATATCTGCCAGGTCCAGCTGGTCTGGAGTGTAGTTTAAATCCTGTGTTTCTCTGCTGGTTTGTTGCCCAGATGATCTGTCCAGTGCTGAGAGAGGGGTGTTCAAGTCTCCCACTATTGTTGTGTTCAGGTCTCCCACTCAAGTCTATCTCTTTCTTTAGGTCTAATTGTATTTTCTTTATTTAGCTGGGTGCTCTAGTGTTGGGTACATATATATTTATGATTGGTATGTGTTCCTGCTGGATAGGATATGTTGACCTTCTTTGTCTCTTTATAGTTTTTGGTTTAAAGTCTATTCTATCTGATATAAGAATAGTTGCTTCTGCTCATTTTTGGTTTCCGTTTGTGTGGTATATCTTTTTCCATACCTTCACTATTAGTCTGTATGCATCTTGACAGGTGAGGTGAGTCTCTTGAAGACAGGATACAGTTGGTTCTAGCTTTTAATTCCAATTTGTCAGTCTGTGTCTTTTGAGTGGGGAGTTTAATGCATTTACATTTAGGGTTGTTATTGAGAGGTATTATCTTACTCTTAGCATTTTATTACTTTTTGTTTAGTTGTTTTAAATATCTTTTGTTCCTTTCTTCCCCCTTTATTTTTTTGTCTTCAATGTTTGTTGGTTTTTTGAAGTAGGAAGATTTAGTTTCCTTTTTCTTTCTCATTTGCATTTTGTTTTACCAGTGGTTTTTGTTCTTTCTTGTGTATTCATGGTAGTGATTATTGTTTTTTGGACTACAGATGCAGGACTCCCTTGAGAATTCCTTGCAGGGCTGGTCATGTGGCGATGAACTCCCACAGTTTTTGTTTGTCTGGGAAACACACTATTTCTCCCTCATTTCTGAAGGATAGCCTTGCTGGATGTAGTATCCTTGGCTGGCAGTTTTTTTCTTTTAGTATTTTGAATACATCATACTGTTTTCTCCTCACCTATGGAGTTTCAGTTGAGAAGTCTGCTGTTAGTCTGATAAGGGCTCCCTGATAAATGACTTGATGTTTTTCTCTTGCTGCTTTTAGGATTCTCTCTTTAAGCTTTGCCAGTTTGACTATAATGTCTTATAATGACTATCCTCTTGTAGAGGATATTTTTGGATTGAATCTGTTTGGAGATCTTTGAGCTTCCTGGATCTGAAGGTCTGTGTCTCTCCCTATACTTGGGAAGTTTACCATTATTATTTCATTGAATAGATTTTCAATGCCTTTATCTCTCTCCTTTCCTTCTGGAACACCCATGGTTCAGATGTTTGTGTGCTTAAGGTTGTCTGAGAGCTCTGTTAGACTTACCCCATTTTTAAAAAATTTGTTTTTTTCCTTTTTTTGTCTTCTGGGATTATTTTATAAAGACCATCTTTGAGATAAGAAATTCTTTTTTATGCTTGCTCTAATCTGCTATCTAAGCTCTCATTTTTGTATTTTATTTCATTGGATGATTCTTTCAGTTTCAAGAGTTTTGCTACATTCATTTTTAAGGTATTAATCTGTTTGTAAATTTCCTCCTTGATATCCTGAATATTTTTTCTCTTTTCATTGTGCTGTCTAACTGAGTCTTCTCTTATTTCATTGAGTTTTCTTAAGATAGTTATCAGAATTCCTTTGTGGTCATTTCAAGGTTTCTCTTCTGTAGGGTCTGGTACTTGAGAATTACTAAACCCCTTTGGCATTGTCTTCTTTTCTTTCTTTTTTTTTTTTTTTTTTTTTTTTTCCGTATTTCTATTATCTCTATGTTGATTTCTGGTCACCTGGTAGACTGATTGCTTCTTCTCTTACTCTGGAGTGGACTTTGGGAAGAAAGACTTCCTCCTCTTTTTCAAGGCTCCTCTCTAGTGACTCTCCTTGTGTCCGTGCAGTTGAACATGAATTGGGCCACCTTTGTGGTGACTGTGGCTGCTACTGTGGCAGTAAGCCATCCTTGCAGTGGTAGATGCTCTGGTAGTGGCTGTTGTGGACCACCTCCATGGAAGCTGTGTGGGGCCTCCCTAATCTTGGTGGTGCTGGCTCTTGCCTTCTGTGCAGGCAGGGTGGGGAGCTGCCCAAGGTTTTTGCCTGCCTGGGTCTGTCTGGTCAGATGGCACTGGCTCTTGCCTTCTGTGCTGGCAGGTGGGGCAGGGAAGCTGCCTGGGGTTTTTGCCTGCCCGGGCCTCCCAGTTTGTGGCAATGCTGGCTCCAGCCTTCTGTCCACTTGGTAAAATTTGCAACCATTTAACTCTTGATCTAGTTTTGCAACTTGGGCAAGACTAAAGTTCCTTCCTGGCTGACTTCAAATCTCCTTGTCCTTTCCTGGTACTACAAATACCCAGAGTCTCTCTTAAATCTTCCACTTGGCTCCCTGGCTGAACAGAACCTTTCCAGGCTCTGCTTTGAGGTCACTTCCCCCTTTGCCTGCTGCCCCAGAGCAGATACACCAGCTCTCAACTCAGTCATTCTCAGGATCTTTCTCCAGGGCTGTGGAAATACCTGAAGTCTACCCACACCACATGGGAAGTCAGAATACCAGGAAATTTAGTGCAGTTTGATGTGTCCATGTGATAGGTTTGTGCTGGGAAACTTGAAAGGTAGAGTCTTTCCAGAGCCTTAAACAGGTTCTTTGTCCCTCTTCTATTTGTTTTTAAAGTCCCCTAATCCCACTGTCAGTTCCAGAAAGAGTGAACTTTTCTTTTACTTGTCCTGTGTCATAAACTCTCCTTCAACTGCAGAGCTATAAGTCTCAAGGATTTTAATGCTATGGGAAGACATTTGGAGCTAAGTAATCCAAGCTCATCCAGAACTAAAGGAATTTAGGGCCGGCCCAGTGGCGCACTGCTACAGTGCGCCACTTGGGAAGCGCGGCGGCGCTCCCGCCGAGGGTTCGGATCCCACGTGCAGACCGGCAGCTCACTGGCTGAGCGAGGAGCGGGGGCAACACCGAGGGTTGTGATCCCGTTGCCGGTCCCGGTCCGGTACGGGCGCGACACTGAGGGTTGCGATCCATTGCCGGTCACGAAAAAAGACAAAAAGACAAAAAAAAAAGAACTAAAGGAATTTAGCAAATCCTCTCGACATATAAACAAAGCCTTGCTTTTAAACCCATTGTCTTGTATCCATTCTGTCTAACCCAGATGAGTCTCCTGGCTAGGACTTTGAAAAGGGAAGCTGGGGGGGGGGGGGGAAAAGGGGGGGGGAGAAAAGATTTAAAGAAGGAAATTTAAATATGGTTGAATCTCCTTATTTTCCACCAGTGTGATTGAGAACTGAAATATAAATGCAGTCTCATTAATAAAAGGATAAGTCCAAGTTTATGTGTCACCTGTACTTTGGGATGTGCATGCACATATACTGGTGTAATGGAACTGTCCCAATTCACCTATCAGCTGTCATAAATTCAAGGATTATTCTGAGGTTACATCAGTGTGACCTCACAGATCTCTATAATATTTCCCAATATCTTTAGTCTTCTACCATTTCTTCCTGTAATATCAAAAGCTCCCACTGTGGTTATTTATCTCCTTGTTTTCATTTTCCTGGGACCTAAGAAAAGCTGGCTGGTTGCACCCGTTAGCCTTCTAGCTTGGCTCCTTCAGCAAACTGCCAGCCTCTCCAAACACAAGGGTTCGGAGCACATACAAAGTTCTTGCCTGGCCCATGGATGGGATCTGCCTTTCCCCTCAATTCTAACAGGGTGTGTGTGTGTGTGTGTGCGCGCGCGCGCGCGCGAGTGTGTGTGTGTGTGTAGGGGGCAGGTAGGAGAAGAGGACAGCCAGACAAGTAACAGGGAACTTAAATAGCCAATTACTTTCTCTTTAACTTCAATCAAAATATCTGAATATTTCTAATAAAAATCTATGACAATATGTTTACGTGTTAATGATCTACTTGAAAAAAAAGGAGGAGGAGGGGAGATGCTGTGGTAGAATAACTTTTGGGTAGAAAAGGGTTATTTTATGGATATTTGGACAGCTAGGACACAGTACTTCTCTACTACTATCTTAGTCTTTCTTCTCTTGTGCTTTTCCTTTAGCTCAACAGAATTCACCAAAAATCCATGAAGGCTGGTGGGCATACAAGGAGGTGGTCCAGGGAAGCTTTGTTCCAGGTAAATACATATTCATTCTTGTTATTTTATTTATTTATTTGTTTGTTTGTTTGTTTATAGATAAATAAATAAATAAAAAGGAGTTTAAAATAAAGCTAGTATTATTTCCAGAATTTTACATTTGTTAGATGGTATGAAATGTATTGCAAAAGGCATTGTAATCTAACTTATGTGTCAGAGGAGTACTCCATCAAGAGAAAATTTATTGAGTGGCTGCTTAACCAGAACACATTTTTTTCCATCTAAGCCTGCAATCCCCAGGTCCTTCCATCCTCAGAAGGTTCTGTTAGGGAGGGAGAAGGGATGGAGGATCGAGAGCTGAATCTCTGCCTGCTGACATTTGGTTAATAAAGAAAGAGCCATTTCTTAACATTAATGAAACAGGAAATATGAGGAAGCTTGCTGGGCAGCATGATGTCACTTCAGGAACATCCATGGTCAGGACTTAGCAGTTTGGGCCAAGCACCAGCTAAAAATAACAAGCAAAATGGATACTACCAGCATGGGAGCAGAGGACAGAAACCTGAAGACAGGTTAGAGCCAGACACATACCATGACTTCAGTTTAGAAGCGAGGCGGAGGGTCCCTGCCTTCTCCCCCTGCTCTTACCCTCATCATGGTCTTTGTCATTTTGCTGCTTCAAGATCTTAGTTGGGAGAGAGGCTAGGAAAGAATGTTAAAGGGAAGGGGGGAAGAGAAGTCAGGTGAGATTTTGCAAAATATTTGTAACTGCTTAGCTGAGAGATTAAGAAATAAAGCTCTCAGGAGGAGCCAATGTGTGATTCCCACTCAGACACTGAAAACAGAGGGGGCCAAAGGTGTCAGCTGAGGTCTCTGTAGCTGCTGGCAGGTAAAAAAAAAAAAAAGAGCAGTGTTCCAGGTCATCCGGTTCATTTTACCTGTTCTTCTGTTGAGACCATTACATCAGCTGGGCAAAGCTAAGCAAGTTAACAAAACCCTGTGGGCACGACTTTTCTCATTCATGCTACGGAATAATAGGTACTCTTGGAGCTTTCCAATAGGAGAAAAACAGGAGCAGGCATGGTGAAGGAGAGTGGGGGGCTCGGGGAAAAGCCACCTGGCTGCCAACTACCTTCAGAAATGAGCATTTTTAACTTGATTCATTTACTATGACACATCTATTCTTTGGCCCAGTGAACATAGAAACTGGGCTTGATCAATTCACCCCAAGATGACCATGCTTCTAATAATAATAATCTTATAACAATTTTTTTTTTTTTTTTTTTTTTTTTTTTTTTTTTTTTTTTTTTTTCCGTGTCCGGCAACGGAT